AGGACACTGGATGACTTTGGTCCAGTCACAAAGTCTCACAGTGTTTTTGTTGTGGAGATGGAAAGGAGGAGCTCCCCTGATTTCCTTGCAAGAAGAAAAAAAGGCAGGTTGAAATGCATTTTGATACTGAAGATTGATAATGATTGATAATGATGGTGGTCATGGGTGCTACAACTCAGCATATGCAACAGCCTTGTCGTATTTCTCTAATAATGTATCCAGTTACCTCTGTGAAAGGAGCATTTTTAAAAAGCAAAGTTAAGGCTGTTACAGGTTGGAAACACACAAACACTTTGTGTTTGGTGTTGCAGATAGCATCACATCCAGAGTTACACAAGCTGAAGTCCACTCAGGCAATGGAGCTTTTCTGCTCCTTTCTTCCAATTGCAGTCCCCCAGAAAGTCAGAGCATCTCCAAAAAGGTGAGATATACAGGGCTACAGCTGAAGAGAAAAATCTGCAAAAATCAGCCAGAGGCAGCTTATGAATGTAGTTCAAACTGCAGAAGATGCCTGGGGCTAATAAGCACAGATGCCTCCCCATCCAATCTAGTCCTCCATGCCACATTCCAAGCCTTTCTTGAGATCCAGGTAGCAGGATGCCCAGATTTTTGCTTTGTACATGTAACATATCAAAATGTACTTCAGTGATTAAAAAACAAAACAAAACAAGCAAGCAACAAAACAAACAGAGCCTTAAAAAGGGAACAAGGCATGCAGGGAGCTCATGGCTTGTCCAGATAATTACTTTACCAGAAGCCTCCTGGAAATATGATTTTTCCTAGATGCCTTGTTTTCTTTAAGAAGCACTGTTTTTCAGCACCACCACTCCAGCAAAGTTTGGCCGTGGGTTACAGCTCCTAGTGGATTCCACAAGGGCAACACAGGGACTCTAATCACCAGAAGAAAATGTCCATCCCTGCTTTATAGAAATCAAAACATCTGGATGCCCCTCTTGTGAATAAGGACTTTTTCCACACTAAGAAGTGGGAAAATGTCAACACAGTAAAAGCCTGGGTACTTAAAAGGGTATCTTTTGATCATGCCTAAGGCAAATTAAAAACACTGAAAAGCCATTGTTTACAATAGCCATAACATCAAGGATTTGGGATTAAAAATTAATAATCAGTGTAAATAAAGCACAACAAATGCATTCTAGAATTCTATGTACTTTACAAAATTAATGACTGGGTAAGGCAATGTTTAGTTGTGTGGATTTTAATCCATTTGCTAGGGCTTAAGGCAGGTCAAAATATATTTAAAACCTAAACCCTAACAAATAAAAACTAATTATAAAGCTCCAAGAAACAAAAGCAATGTTTTTCATTAAAGAGAAATCCAAGGCAACTATAAAGGTGTTTATAATCATTCATGCCACCTGATGAGAGATAAGCCTATGTACAGAACAATAATGCACAAGAAATTCTTTGAAAGGAGCATTCTTAAGACCCAGCAATATTAAAAAATGTTCTAAATTGCTTTGGATTTAGGCCCAGAAGTAGATAATAAATTTTACTGCGTAAAGAAAGTAGAATTGTGCTTGACACATAACATCAGTCAACACAAGTGGTTTTGAGAGAAAGAGGAATTGAACTCATTGGGTATCTGCAAATGGAGGGGAGGAACAATGCATCAGAGTCGGGCACTTCACTTTCCAAGTAAGATCCAAAAGTTCATGTGCAAGGTACAGTACAATCTATCCTTCAGTTTGTAGAAAAGTCATGGACTTGAGGTTCCCAGCAGAGAAACCTTGCAAATTTTAAGATTTCTGGTGGTTTAATTATGGTCAGGCACCATAAAACTAAATTTTCCACAGGTCTTGAGCTGCAGCTGTATTCCCTGAACCAAAATTGACCTACAGACAATTCTGTGTGGAAGATTCACAACACAGTCCACAATACATTTGGCCTGAGAAGTCAGGTGACACTAGCAGAGCAATTTGATGCCCTTCAAACTGAATAAGGGAGGGGTGGATCACCAGATGTTTTGGACTCACAGGTGACCATGTGGGCAGAGGCTTGTGGGAGCTGAAGTCAAAACATCTGGCTATCTACCCATTGCTGATTCCTGGTTGTTCCAAGATTAAGACATGGAAATCTAGAGGGAAGCCTACACATGACCTTTCCTAAACAGAATGGACTCATTGCCATGTGGCAACCAGCAACTAACAAATCCCAATAAGCATTGATTTATCCCAGCTTTAGCTGCTTGCTCTTTGGGAGGCTGAGATATTGTGCTTTCCTGATTGGCTGGGGATGCGCATAGTTTTTGCTTTTCTTAGGGTAACCTCTGCAGGCTAGGAAAGAGCCCTCTGATTAAAGTTGCACTAATATCTGCCATAACCTGGCAGGTAGACAGCAGTGGGAAAGGAGGAATGAGGCCCAAGAGTTGCTGGACTTCAACAAAACTTGCATCGACAATGTCTGAAGACTGAAGTTGTCAAGAAAATGCACTGAAAAAGGCACTTGGGTGCTTAGTGGCCATCTTTTTCCTTCCCAGTTTTCTATTGACACAGGTGGCTCTAATATGGGCAATTGTAAAATGTTTCCTGTGGCTTTGATGGCCTTGGAATCCAGTCAGTCTTGCTGATGTGTCATGATCAGATACTGCTATTGCCAATGGTGACCATCTTCTTAGGACCTTAAATGGCTTTGGAATATCTACCAAAACATAGCTGCTTATAAACCTGGCAATGCTGCTGTAAGTTATGTAAGCAATCTGTATTCTGGATACTTGAAAATACACAACAGCTCTCTTATTAAGAGCTACTGTTATTGCCATGTACATCACAAAGCCTGTCTAAAAGATCAAGGACAGTGTGAAACCCTAGTTCATAAAGCTATGCTGAGTTCTCCCAGAGCACACTTAAAACAGAAAAGTTCAAGGAATGGTTTAAGGAGCTTGGCATGAAGTTCCATTGAAAAGCAGTGCGCTCTCTTTTCCCTGCTGGCAAACAGCGACTCCTCTTGTGACCTGCCATTAAACCCTATTTCCTGGAGTGGGAGGAAGAGAGAAGGGTGACCCCATGTAGCAGCTTATTAGTGACCAGGCAGGTACGATAACAAACCCCACCACCTTGTAAATTTCACCCACAGAGCACTTTCTCTTTGGTGCATCATTTCATGAAAATGGTCAATAATTTTATTAATTTTTGGTGGTAGGGGGAATCATATAGTCAGTCCACAGTTGCACACACTGGTATGCAACTTGGGGAAGAGAACAACGAGCCACAGGGATAACAACTCTTTTGCAGAAAATCCATTCACAGGATTAAAGGGTTACTTGATGGTCAATGTGCATGTTTCAAAACAAATGCAGCCAAAACATACTATTGGACGGTAAGGTATCTTGAAAAATCATATGAATTGGAGAATATATCACAACAGGACTTTGCAAATTTTGATCTTTGTGAAGAAGCTGCAACTTGAGCATTTCTGTCAACTTGCCAAGATTGCAGACACTAAGGTTAATGCAGAGTAACTTTTTAATGAACTCAGCCTAGTTCAGAATTTCTGCCACAAGTAAGAAAACTGAATCTTTTTCTGGACCCAGGACTGGAGGCAGTAACTGAAAGTCACCAAATCTACAGTGCTTAGGCAGGTTTCCAGTGCTATGAATATCATCCCTGTTAAGTAATCCAATTGCAGAAATGGTGTTTCCTCACATGGGAAACATAGGGACAAACATCAGCATGGCAGCTCATCTTCATCAAGTTTTGTGTCACAGTCTATTATGAATTAAAATATATCCAGTTCTTCAAATATATTTGGCAGCAACCACATTCACTCAGAGCATGCATTTCAAATTCCAGATATAAATTTTAAGCACTGTGTAAATATTTCAGTGATTGAATATTCAGTTTGTTCATTAATATAAACATAGAAAAACATAATGCTTATGCATTTAATCACATAAAGCAACCCAGGTTGGTTCTCTTCCCCTCTTTTGCTGTCTCTCGTGCACACACGTGCACATACACATGCACACACAGACAGATTCACTTTTTTGCCAATTTTTGTGCAGAGGCTGCCTTTTGACATCGTAAGGGTCCACATTTGAGTCTCAGGCTTTGACCCTGAAATCTCAGCAACTTGGCAGCCCTGGCATGCCCAATGCTGTATTCTATCTAAACTTGCATAGGATTGCACCTTAAATGATCAGCTGGGAGGGGAGAGGAAGGATCTTTATGTCTGAAGAACTGCTTTGGCTGTTGTGCTGTAATTGTTTCTGCAGGCCAAAAAAGTCCACAACTCCCAGCATGCCCTGGTCAGCTAAAGGCCATTTTTTTCTATCTAAAATTGCAAAGGATTTTGCCCTTACTAAATGCTAAGTTACCGATAAAGTTACAGCTGAATTTCAGGCCAAATATCAGTTTCTGCTTCTTTCTTGTCATCTGCAATGAATAGGATATAACTGGTACTGATTGACACAGAATAGCACAATAGTAAATGCAAAGATGGTTGGTTATCAGAAAGTAGCTGTTTTGGTAACATTGTCATTAAAATGAAGAATAACTTAGTAAAACTACAGCAAAAGGAATTAAGTTTGTTGCCAAAAGACATTCCTTTCAGATCTATCAATTAATGTTGTTAGAAGGTCATTTGCATATCTTATCCCATCTCTACCATGTCATGGAACCATAAAGATCTGATCCTTCTGAGTTCCTTTTGTTGAAGTATTATATATTCTCACCACAGCATGCACAGTGTGTTTCTCCCTTACTCTCATATCCTCTCAGCCCCTTTTTGTAGTATCAGTCTTGTTTGGTTGAGTTTATTTGTGTACTTAATTACAAGTACAATTTTTTAAAGCAGTTAAGCTCAAGGCAAGTTGTTCTACAAACACGCTAAAGGTTAAAAATCAACTACAAAGGGGGAAAAAACACTTCAATGTATTAGTACTGCAGCAGTGAGAAAAAAAGACATTTTATATCCAAAGAGCATGAGCAGTCAGAAAACAGAAAACATTAAATTTCAATAAAACCTTCAATAATAAAACTGACCTCATTTACTGCAACATAGTACTGCTGCTGCTGAAATTGCGGGGAGTTATCATTTCTATCCCTCACCACAATCCGAACTTCATGGTAGATGACAGTTCCTACTTTTCGGTTAACGCACTGGACTTGGACCACAATAGACTGGATGGACATTGGTGGCTGTAAAGATTGGGAAAAAATAAAAGCATAATTACCTTTAAGAAGTGCGAAAATATGCAGAACCTACTTTAAGGGGATCTAACAGTAGAATATAACAGAAATGTGTCTATTTAGAAATTGCACTGAATTCAGTGCAACTTACTCCTAGGTAAGTGTTTATAGGGGTGCAGCCTGAGTGAATGAGGTTTACATTTGCCACCCAGCTATGTTTGTGGATATCAATACATCTCAGTTACAAGGTCTGGAGCAAGACCACCATTGCCTAGGTTTCCAAGACTTCAGCAACTATCGGGTAGAGCCACCCGAAAATCAGATTCTGCCTTCAGTTCACTGTTGTACATTTCAGTAATAGAATCAAATTAAAAAGGAATACATGAATGGAGAAATTAAAAGTAAAACAAATGCTTCAGGAGAACCTGAACAAGATGCATTTATTTTTAAAAATCATGAGAAGTTTGTAAGCTGTATCAGAATGTAATTGCTAATTCTAATTCAGTACATTTTTAAATCAAATTTGAAAAGTTGGATCAAGCATATCAGCACAATGACTGCCCAGTTACCACATAAGGATGCCACATTTAAATCAGAAGCAAGGTCAATTCATGCTTTCCACAGTCCAGTTTCCACTACACAGGAATTGAATTTCCATTATAGTACAATGGTATTAGGTGGTAGCAACATGAATACATACCCATATGTGTGTGCATGCACATGGACAGATTAGTCATAGATTAATACAGAAACTACTTTTTTCCATAGCAAAGATACATTAATATAGATAAAATGGTTTTGAGAAAACAGTAGCTCTGCTTAGCAAATAAGATATATGTTGCCCATTATCCTTCCTTCACCATTCACAGCATAATTTTGTCTGATCAATCTAAATGCAAGATGAAAACTTAAAACTAAGAAAAATTAATCTAATATAATTTTCATTTTCATTTAATAAATAATTCAGCAAATAAAAATGCCAATTAATACAAAGAAATGTGCTGTTTTTACTATTATCATTATCACCAATATTCATATCGGAGTCCACTTCCCTTATTAAAGAAATCATTTTGTTTTATCTGTACAGCATCTTATGTTGTTCAGGTGTAGCTAGAAGATAGATTTCATAGGTTAAGAACCTGGGCTTAAAGTTCGCGGGCTTTTCCTTGGTATGCGGAACTTCTTGTACACAAAGATTGCACCCCTAATCCCCTTAGTCTCTGTTCAACATATATAAAATACAAACCAGACAGTGTTACAAGGAAGTCGTACATACAGGCAAAACTCCTGCCATGGGATAATCACAACCAATACATAATGGGAGAAGGTTCAGGCTTGTTGAAATGTTTCATCTGCTCTCTGACATAATTTCTAGCCTCTTGAATTAATAAGTGGTTTTGTTTATTGGTCAAGAGTAGATAGGGAGCAGAACTTGATAAAAGTAGAAAGCCTGATCAGTTAGGGCTCCTAGACATCTCTACCTTACAGATGCCCAAAGGTATATTTGGAGCTACCAGCAGAAAACACTTTTTACCATATTTTGCATATTGCGCTAGTGAATTATTTTGGAATGCCTTTTATACAGAGGACGAAATCATGAAATGGGGAGGAGAAATAATATCTTTCTCATCCAACCGTGGAAGACAGACTGCATTTCTGACCAGCTAAAAATTATAAAGTCAATTAATCTCGTTTATTGTGTTCTCTCAGCAAAACAAAATGAAAACACTGTGAATATATTTACAAGAGGAACCGGATGATAGCAGCAGTTGCACATCAAAAACAACACATCCACGGCACTAGCCAGAGGACACCTGCTTACCTCTTGACTTCCCCATTGTCTGGTTCTTTTTTCCCAAGGGTCCCCCATCCCTCCAAGTACAGCAAGTGGACTAAACCTGCTCTGCAGACTTCTTCCTCATGTCCCTTCCCGAAGCACCTGCTGAGTCCCCTTTCCAAAGCCTTGTCCCCACGGATAAGGCAGGTGAGTTCCTGACAGACCTATCACTTCAAGGAATGCTCACAGAAGTCCTGGTCCAGTCCTTCCCTTTTCCAATGAGAAAGACAATTGGTGAGCAAAGCCATCTCAGTCATGAGACACCACTTCAGTGCACTCCCCGCTATGACGACAGCCTCTGTTTACGAGACAAGTGGGGTATATAAATGAGAAAGAGAGAGAATGTGTGGCCACGTGAGTATGGGGAGCACCGGTGGCCCTGATCAGTCCGGGTGTTCCTATCACTGCTGGCATGTGGGAAAGCATTGACAGTGACAGTTACTTGAAGGATAGTGAATACAAGGGATTCACAAATGTTAGAAACATATGAGTACAGGGACTAATGGGTCAAGAGCTCTAGGAGAGCTGGGTTTGAAGAGGTTCCTTGGGAATTCAGGTGAGGCACCCCTGCAACAGGTTGCTTCATGTCCCCATGTCCTACAAGTGAGGTGTGTTGATAGGTCAAAAATTTCCACCTCGTGCTTAGGCCAGCTGGGAGCCTGACATTTGTCTAACACCCTGGAGAATGGCTATCAATCAGTGTAAGCAACCATATGTTACATGGACCAGTGTTCTGAATGGTGTAGGATAGCTTCCTATTTTCAGTCCTCATTCTAATAACCCCTAACATGGAATGCGTCTATTCTGCATAATTGACTGGTATTTTCAATGAACTAACTGAACTAGCCATACTGGACACAGAATACTTAATCTATTCAGATTCCTTCTCCCCTCCCCTCCCCTCCCCTTCCCTCTTCACCATATTTGGAGTATCATTTATAGCTCTTCAAAGTGCACTTGTATTAGCGCCACCCTGAATAATTTGGTGCCCTCTAGAACGCTGGCCATCTTGCTCCACTTGCAGCACTGTTATGAAAGTGAACATACTGGCTAACATCCTGGGGGGGATAGAAATCTAACAAATACATACAAACATAAAGTTAATAGCACTAGTCCAGTACAGATCACTGCAGGACCCTACTTCTTTTTTTCCTCCTCTGCAAGAACAAACAATGTATTCCTCCTATCTCCTTCCTATGTGCTGACAAGCTACCCATCCATAAAAGGCCCCAGTCCTCTTATAACACATGTTTTTGGAGGATAAAAATTACATGTTGATGAAAAATGCCTTTGTTGTACGATCATTTAATTCCACTTCAGTTAATCCTGCCCAAATGCTTCTTTAAATTTACTGAGGATGTTTGCTTTCTCCCTCTCTCTCTCTCTGCCTCTAAATAAGAAGCTCACTATGTTGAAATCAAACAGAAATGCATTGATCCACTCTTGATTTAAAAATGAGCAGTGGGTCCTTATAAAGCTGTCTTTTTAAAACCTTCAATGAGGTTCTTTTAAAAATAAGTTAATAAAAGAAAAGAATCAGGTACATGGCTGTTCACTTCAAAATGTAGGTGCTTTAGGGCTTTACCAGATCAGATGCACCTAAGAATACAAGGCATGCCCTGGAGCCCCCAAATGTGAAAATGGGCAAAGAAATGAATTCATTTCTTTCAATGATTGGCAGCAGAAAGAAACTGCAGGCTTGGCCAGAGGGAAGAAACCCTCTTGATTTACTCAGTGGTCTCTCTGGCTATGGTGTGTACATTCAAATCACAGCTGCTTCTGCACAGATTAAGATTGTATGGACTACGTTACGGCTGTATCACCTGAATGTTCCTGCTCATTTACTACCATGTAGCAGAATGGAAAATATGTGTTTTGATTTTCACCAAAGAGATGAATTCACAGGGAAAGCTAAAGTATCCAAAGAGATTCACGTAACTGTTTGGGAGTGGAAGAAGATCTTCTCTGAATGGGACGTGAAGGGTTGAGAGTGAGGTGAAGCATGAAAACACAGGGAAAAGGAGAAACTAATTACTGGATGAGGAAGACAATACTGTGAGTACAGACAGTCCTTTTTATAAAGAAATTGAAGCAACATATGCCTGTTATGGGCTCATCATGAGCGAGAAGAGGGCAGCCTGCCTCTTCAAACCAGTTTCACATTCCAAATTGCATCCACTTTCCCAGTGACAATGGAATGGTCCATTTGAATGGACAAACTGTCTGCATCTTCTGATTTTAACCTCTTGATGCCAAAGAGTCCATTTAGTATATTTTGTAAGTGGAGCATTTCTGTGGAAAAGACCGTGAGGTAAAGGTTTAAAGTCCAGTCATGTCTGACTCTTGGGGACTGTGCCATCTCTGTTTCCTAGCCAAGGGAGCCAGCATTTGTTCACAGACAGTTTCCGTGGTCATGTGGCCGGCAAGACTAAACACCAAAGTGCATGGAACACTGTTACCTTCCCACCAAAGTGGTACCTTTTTATCTACTTGCATTTATATACTTTTGAACCACAAGGTTGGCAGGAGCTTGGACAAAGCACAGGAGCTCACCCTGTGTGTGGATTCAAACTGTTGACCTTTCAATCAACCAGCCCAGCAGCTCAGCAGTTTAAACCACTGCACCACCCGCAGCCCCTGGACAATACCCTAGCTGTGTGTATATTTCTTTACAAACAAAGAAACCCTTCACAAATGCCCATACAGACAAGTTGATTATTTATGTTAACTCGTAGAGGAAAAATGTGTGGAAGAACCCAAAGCATATGGAGAGAGAATACATTTTACACAGGGCCCAAAGTTCTGAGGAACTTACCCAAGCAACCCTATTATAGTAAGGAAAACAAATGTGAGACTGAATTGTAGACCATACTTGAGGATATTTATGGAACCCCATCATTTGGTGGCAGTTATAGGCAATGATTAGAACAGAACATCAAACATTCTGAGCAGTGAATTGCTCCCCCAGTCCATTCTCTAGAAGAAAAAGAGGTAAATTTAACAAAATCTAGGCAGCACCTAAAGGAGAAAAAGGAAGAAGAACTGTTCCATGTCTTTGTAATTGTCTCCTTTGCTGCCTAAATAGATACAGTTAGGGGGTTGTTGCTAGAGACATTGTGTTTTGAGAGAGCGTGGAGGTTCACTATGTTTAACAACAGTTGCCTTTAAAGTG